AGAGGAAGGCTCTAGCAGCAAAAGAGGCCCTCCAGAATGTGGGATCTGAGAAGAATCTTAAAGGAATATGGGATAAGGGAAGGCAGGAGGCAGAGCATGCCAGGCGTGGGAGAGAAGGATCTGCAAATGAAGAGACTGGTGTGAGAACCGGCAAGGAGGACACGAGAGAGGGGAATCAGGTGCCCCTCCTCTGGAACCGTGATTGCCCGAGAGCTGCGGGGGCACTGGGGGCTTCACTCCCTTCACTTCCAGACCCACCGAGGCTGGCCCTGTACCCACTATGCCAGGGTATCTCCAAGGAACCCTGGAGCATCCCTAGGTGATTTTAGATGACCTTGATGTTGTTTGATATCAGGCTTAAAAAATAACCATTTTAAAGGGATTTACTACAAAAGTCTGCCCAAGTATTGTTTAAAGTAAAGGGTTCTACCACTGCCAACGTTGTGGGGGCTACCACACTACACTCTTCTGCCTCTCTAAAAAAGTCTTATTAGTTACATAATTTATGTAATAATTCTACATAATTTATACAATGTCTACATAATTTATATAATAATTATCCATAATTTATATGATAATATTTACAGGATTTCTATGATAATTCTATTTACATGATTTATATAACAGAGGCGATGTGGCACAGTGGAAAGAAAGCTGCCCGGTCAGGTGTTGCTTCTTACCAACACTGGTTTATGCTTGGGGGCCAGGCAACTCTAAATTGCAGCACCACCTGGCCACCTCCAGGTGAGGCCCAAGCTAGTGAAGAACATTCATTGCAAACCTTAAAATGCAAGATACACGTGATCCACAGAATTTGAGAGTAGAAAGGGGACTCACTGGACACCTTGTCCAACCTGTAGAGCAAGAAAGGAATCCCCACTACCGTCCGCCCAACCTACCCCAGATGGGCCCAGGGAAGCTAGCAGGAATCAGCCATGGGACTCCCTCTCTGGGTCTCCTGGTGCCCTCTGCCCTGTCTCTACTGCCCTGGGGCTGAGGCCCAGGCCAACCCCTCACTCCTGCGCTTCGTGCGCAAGTGCCAGGGTCCGTTGAGATCAGTGACCACTCGGCTCAGCCCCCCCATGACCCAGGGTCCCCCAGCTTGCCTGCCTCAAACCTTGATGGAACCAAAGGGGACATAGCCCTAAAGAGCTGCTGCGTCTTTGTCCTCTGCCCTCCCTCCGCTAGGCCAGGTATCCCTCACTTCACACTACAGACGTATCACCCCCAAGCTTCCCGAAAAAAGAAAATTTGTGTGTGACCCACAACACTGTGGGAGGGAAGGAGACTGAAAAACGGGCTCGAGGAAAGTAATTTGGAATTATGGAATAATAGAATGGCATGATGCAAAAAGCATGTCCAAAATGCCTGGATCCTTTGCCCCAGAGATGCCGCTGCTGAAGTGGACTCCAAGCGGGTCAGAGACAGCAACAGAGGGCCCGTGAGCACCACAGCACTGGAGCAGTCAGGCCCCAAGCATTTATTAAGCGCCTACTGTGTGCTAGGCACTGTGCTGAGAGCTGGGGATCCAAAGAGACGTAAAAGACAGGCCCTGCCCTCAAGGAGGAGCAGCCTTCAAACACGGCTGAGTGGTTTGGTTGGTTTTCCCCAAACTGGTCATTTCCTGAGTGTGAAGAACTCCAGGTGTGAATCCTCCCTCCTCAGATCCCTGACCCAGATTTTCCAAGAGCTGCCTGGGGGCTTTGCTCACTCACCCAGGACCACCGAGGCAGGACTTGAACCCGGGGCCGAACCCCCGCCTACGATGCCAGCGTATCTCCAGGGAACCAGGAAGCACCCGAGGGTGGTTTTTCAAATGAGTTCATGTGGCCTAATTGGAGGCATAAAAAGACCTTTCCACCTGAGCTTTGCTTCAGCCGCAGGATTCTCCCCTGCCCTGAAGGCTGCTCTGCTGACTTTCATGGACTCTTCTCATGTGCGGAATGCAGATAGTAATTATCTATAATTGACATAATGCAGACATGGAGAATCGCTACAGGAAGGAAAACATCCTGCGTCGGGCCCACCCAGGCTGGGCGACCCCGAGCAGCCACTTCCGCTCTCAGAGCTCAAGCCAGCTCTCCCAGATCACTGCAGAGAAGGCGGCTGTCTGCACCGGCGGAGGGAGTTTCCCCACATGGGAGTTCCTCATCCCAGCTTCATTACCTCCCCTCCCCAGGCATTTCCACTTACTCACGTTGCCCTACCAGTTTCTGGCTTATGGCTGATCTTAAGGATCACAGATCTAGAATTCCGAGGCCCCTGAGCCTAACCCCTACATTGGGGTACAATGAGGAAGGGCTGGGCACCTCCTGGTACGGGGGGCAAGGCCCTGGCCCCATTCCTGCCTCCGATAACAGCAGACGAGACAGATCTAGGACCAGAGCAGGGCAAGCTTGGGGAGCTGTGTCCCCAGGGAGGACCTCTCCAGGTCCAGGCCTGCCGGGGCTAAAGCCAGGACCCCTGGGCCCCTGCTCTAAGTGGCTGAGGGAGCCGCTTCTGGCCTGTGACCAGCTCTGCTGAGAAAACAACCAGCGTGGGGGCCACCTGCTGAGAGATGTCCCAGGTGCCTGGCCCAGGAGACAAACCAAGGAAGAAAAAACAAAAAACAACCCTGGGGAACACTGAATTTAGAGGTGTCTCCTGTGCAAGCCCTCCTGCTGAGGAAACTGAGACCTAGGCAGTCTCACTATCCCTTGTACACAGCAGTCCAGCTCCCCTCCATGCCTTTGCACAAGCTGTGCCCAATGCCTGGGATGCCACCCTTCCTCATATCTGTGCCTCAAAATTCCTAGCCTGCTTTGAAGTGTAGCTCAAATATCACCTCCTATAGGAAGGCTTCCCTGATTCCCCCCAGTTTCCAGTGGCTCTACCCCCAAATGACTTTGGATTTACTTCATAGGTATTTTTAATTTAGTTCAAGGAAACAGCACTCACCGTCTCTGGAGTGAGAGGCCCTGGGGGGCCTTGGCATCACCCCTGTCTACAGCCATGTTCGGTAACACCCATCCATGCCCTTGGCAGCCAGATCCCTTAAAAATATCCACTCCCCAGCTGGTTGTGGGATTGGGCAGACTCCTAGAAATCCCCCAGTTAAAGGGGAAATCATTCTGTAATAAACTGTCGCCTCTGTTAACCCTCTGACACCTCACTGCAGCACATAGGGACATCTGGCCTCTCCAGGGCTATGCCCCAGGACCTGGCCAGGTGGAACATCCCAACTAGAGACAAAGATCTGCCTGGGCATCTGTGGTCTCAGGACCAGCCTGGCTGGGTGTAGACAGACACCCCTCACCACAAGGCGGACCGCTGGTCAATGAAGCTTCTCATCTACCACTCAGGATGACCATTTACTAAGTGAGTCAGTCAACAAACATTAATATTAAGGACTTATTCTGGGCCAGGCCCTGTGCTGGGAATACAGAGAAAGGCAAGAGCACAGTGTCCTCCTACTCAAGGAGCCCCCTTCTAATGAGGTACCACCAGTAAATAACTAGGTATATCCAAGATACACACAGAGTCGATGGTAATCTCAGAGGGGAAGGCGCTCGGCTCTGGGGGGCTGAGGAGGGCCTCCTAGGGCCTTCCTACCCAAGGAGGGGGGAGTCTTCCCCAAGGAGAACCGCAGGCAACCTTGAAGCTAGGGAAATGGCGAAGGAAGGAACGGAACCCTGGCCATACAGGAAGATGCAGGAGAAACCACTGGGCCACGCGCAGAGCGGCACAAAGAGAACACCCAGAAGTGTGCCCAGGCCCTCTGGGGAGAGCCCCTGGCAAGGCGCTGCCAGTCTGACCACCACCTTCTCACCTACCTGCTGCACCTGCCTTGACCTCCCCCAGGATCCTTTTCCCTGGAGTACGCTTTTCTAAAATTCATGCTCAGACACCAGGGCTGCCCACCGGACGTCTTCAGACGGTGGGCACCATCCGGGTCACAGGGGCAGCCCCTCTGGTATCTCACACATTCCTCACAACAACCCTGCCAGGCAGGTGCTAATCCTATCCCCATTTTACAGATGAGGAAACTGAGGCAGACAGCGGTGCAGTGACTTGCCCAGGATCACACAACTAGGAAGGGTCTGAGGCAGAACTCTAGCTCAGGGTTTCCTAATGCTGCAGTACTGCCCACTACGATGAGAAGCGGAGAGAATAAAGAGCTGGCATAGGAAGTCCCTCCAGTAACAGCGTGCGACCCGTCTCTGGGTCAGTAGAGACGGCCAGCGGTCAGAGGGGTTGAGTTATTTGCCCGTGAGATGCTATTTGTTAAGCATTTAGCGTAGTGCCAGGCATATAGTAGGTGACTACTAAATGCTTGTTCCCCACCCCCCTAGCCCCACCCTGCAGCTCCTGTTACACATCATGTTGTAGATCATTGGGCACAGGAGCTGGAGTCCAGAAGGCCCGAGTTCCAATCCTACCCTTAGATACTGGCTAGCCATGGGCAAATCTTGGAAACTGCCTGGGCCCCAGGTTCCCAGTGTCTTAAAATGAGGGAATCGGGTTCTGCTGCCTCTGAGATGCCTTCCAACTCTCCAAACGTGAGCCCGTGAAGTGAGGACTCCACCCACCGCACCCCATGGCCCCCCAAACACCGGATCATTCCAACAACAACCAGCCAATGAGGGAGCGTGCCAGGGCTGCCAGTACCTTGAAGCCAGCCTTCCCAGGCACCGTGCATCAGCACACACGGGATGGATGACTGCCCAAACTGTGATGCAGTGAAGGAGGGTGGCCCAGCTGAGCTCATCACTAAGTTTCCACCCCCCGCATTGTAGCGGGGCCGGACCCTCCAGTTGGCGGCCGCCTGGGACCCCCAAGCAGAGGGGAGCTCCCTCATGGGTTAGGAGCTGGGCCCAGCCTCTCCAGCCCCATCCATCCAGAATCCAACTGAATGGATCTCTGGGCAGCTGAAGGCAAGCCCGACCATGGACACTTCCCTGCTGCCAATACAGGGAGGGAATTCCCCGCCCCGCCGTGCTCTCAGCGGGGGGTGGACCTACCGTGTCCCTCAGGCACCAGGCTGCCTGTCCGGCTCTGTCAGGGGGAACGCGTCCTCAGCCGCTTCTCCTGGTGGGAGAAAGAAGATATGAGCATAAGCCTAAGGGGAGAAGTCAAAGGACCCAGGGGACATGGGGTGAGCGTAAGATAACAAGACAGAGGTAGGCCGCTACGCTGGCTCTCCACCACGGCGGGGTCTGCAGCGGCCTGGGCCTGCCTGTGTCTAGGGACTTAGCTGGAACGTTCTCCACCGCTGACTAGCCAAGTCACCCTCTCCCACAGCTGGGAGGGGCCCCGGAGGCCATCAATCCAACACTCATTTTACAGAGGGAGAAACCAAGGCCCAGAGGGGAAGTGACTTACCCAAGGTCATAGGGTCTTGCATTGTGAGCTGGAAGGACCCTCTCATTTTATAAATGAAGACCTGAAGTCTGAGAGATTTCAGTGATGGGCTGGTCCCATGGCTGGGAAGGGTCTATGGCAAGACTCCAGCCTAGGTCTTCCTGCCTCCAAGCAGGGTTCCCCTGGACTAAAGGGGTCAAACTCACTTCCAAAAAAAGGGCATGGGCTCTGGTGGGAGTCAAATCCTGCCTCTGAGGTTCACTGCCTAGTGACTCTGAGCACTTACTGCTCCCTGAGCCTCAGTTTCTTCATTTGTAAAATGAATGGGTCGGACCCTGGGGTCCCTTCCAGCTTTAGAGCTAGCCACCATGAGGTCCCTTTACCTGTCTGAGCCTCAGTTTCCTCCTCTGGACCATGAGGGGGTTGCAGTAGAAGACCTCTGTGGGTCTTCCCAGCTCCACACCTCGAACCCGAGGATCCAATTTGGGTTCCAACCTCAGTGCTCTTTCCATGATGCCACACTGCCTTGGGGATGATACATTTTGTTGTTGTTGGGTCATTTCAGTCATGTCTGACTCTTCATGACTCCATTTGGAGTTTTCTTGACAGAGATACTGGAGTAGTTTGCCATTTCCGTCTGCAACTCATTTTACAGATGAGGAAACTGAGGCAAACCGGGTTGAGTGACTTGCCCAGGGTCACACAGCTAGTACGTTGTCTGAGGCTAGATTTGAACTCAGGAAGATGAGTCTCAGACACTTACTAGCTGTGTGACCCCGGGCAGGTCACTTAACTTCTGCTTACCTCAGCTACCTTGTGTGTCAAATGGGGAGCCTACTGCCTGCAGTTCCTACTTCCCAAGGTGACTGTGAGAGAATCAGATGAGATCATGTCTGGAAAGCACTCTGCCAACCTCAAAGCCTGTGGAAATGCTGGCGACTTTTACCTTGGAAAATCATTTTTATGGAGATTTTCTGTTTTGACATCACCTACATTTCCCCCTTGTCCCTCCCCGAAGCTCTCCCAGGAGCCAGCCCTTAGAAAAACAAACAAGAAAAAAGAGGAAGAAAGAAAAGAAAATTCTGCAGAACAAATCAGTGCAATGCAAAGTCTGAAGGAATGCTCAGTATTCCACACCCATGTTGCTACATTACTGCTAACAGGGAATGGACTAGAGGTTTCATAGGAAAAGAGAACATATGGGTGAGAAGCCTCTCTCCATACCTGCTCTGCACCCCAAGGCCTTAGAAAGCTGCTTGGGGGCCTGAGAGGGGACAGGGCTTGCCTAGGGTCATACAGACAGGATGAATCAAAGGAAGGACTTGAACTCAGGTCTTCCCAGCTTCAAAGCCAGCTCTCAATCAACTACATCATATTGCCTCCTATAATCATCACCATCACCATCATCACCATCATCACCATCACCATCATCACCATCATCACCATCATCACCATCATCGTCATCATCATCATCACCACCATCATCACCATCATCATCTCACCATCATCATCTCACCATCATCATCATTACCATCATCGTCACCATCACCATCATCACCATCACCATCACCATCATCATCACCATCATCACCATCATCACCATCATCGTCACCACCATCATCATCACCATCATCACCACCACCATCATCATCATCACCATCATCATCTCACCATCATCATCACCATCATCACCACCATCATCACTATCATCACCATCATCACCATCATCATCTCACCATCATCATCATCACCATCATCGTCACCATCACCATCATCGTCACCATCATCACCATCATCACCATCATCACCATCATCATCACCATCATCACCATCACCATCATCGTCACCACCATCATCACCATCATCACCATCACCACCATCATCACCATCACCATCACCATCATCATCATCACCACCACCATCATCATCATCATCATCACCATCACCATCACCATCATCACCACCACCATCATCACCATCATCATCACCACCATCATCGTCATCACTGAACAAAGTTCAGACTCTTCTGTGTCACACTCTGGCTACACCCTCCCTTCCACCCTTACTTCAGGTTACTCCCCTCCACCCATTCCTGTCAGTCAATAAGCATTTATTAAGCCCCTTCTACATGCCGGGCACTGTGCTAAGTGCTGGGGATACAAAGAAAGGCAAAAGACAGTCCCTCCTTAGGCAGAGTTCACAGTCTAATGGGGGAGACTATCTCTAACCACTCCCCCCTCCCAATACACTCACTCCCAGAGACATAATTAGGGCAGGACAACAGGGGCCTTGTCTTAGAGCAAGGAAAGTGGGCCCACAGCACTACTCTCGGACTGCTCTCTGCCCCACCCATCACCCCACAGCAACTGTACCTGCCTGTTCCCAGGATTGCTTCCTCCTCCTTCAACAACACCCTGCACATCAGGTGAGCCTTAGCCTCACCTCCCCACCACTTAACCCAGCTGCAGAAATCTCTAAGCCTTTGCTCACACCTCCATGCCTTTGCTCAAACAGTTCCCTGCACCTAGAATGCCCTCCGTGCCCCATCTTTGCCTATTGAATTCCTATCCATCCTCTCAATCCCAACTCAAAAGCAGCCCCCTCCAGGAAGCCCACAGTTGTGCCTGGCTAGTAATCCCCTCCTCCCTCAGGCTTCATGCAGGACGCCACTGTGTATATTTTTCTAATACATCTGTCTTCTATTTATAATATGGATAATAACCTTTGCATCACTTACCCCACAGGACTGTTTCAAAGAAGGCTCTTCCCGAGACAGCACGGCCTAGAGGGAAAAACACGAGAAGTGAGGGCTCCCATCCCAGCTCCAACAATGACCAGCTATGAGGCTACAGCGTGTCACCCCATCTCAGTTTACTCAGCTGTGAAATGGGAAACATCATACTACCTACCTCTCAGGGGTATTGTGTAGAGAGGATTTTGTAAATAATTAATTTCCATAGAAATGAGTGATATTGCTGGCTGCGTGGCCTTAATCCCTATCAGGGCCCTGGTTGGCTCCCCTATAAAATGAAGGAACTGGGCTAGATCAGGGTTAACTTTTTGGGGTAACGGACCCCTTGGGCTGCATGGGAAAACCTACAGGCCCCCTCTCAGAATAATGTTATAAATGCATAAAATAAAATGCATCAATTACAAAGGAAACCAATTATATTGAAATAACAATATTCTTAAAATTACAACCTCCAAGGTAGGCAGCCCTGGTCTAGGTAATATTTAAGCACCCGTTTAGCACTAATCTTCTACCCATCTGACCCACTGGTCACCCGCCGGGCACTGTGGGCACAGAGGAATTATGAGGTGACCTTGTTTCTGCACAACTGGGACCAACACCCCCAGGTTCTGGTTTAACCTTCAGGGATCTTTCTGTCCTAAACATTCAATAGTCCAGTTCCTCAAAAACTCTCATCTCACCTCTCCATCTAGGCCTCAGGGGAGCCCACACTGGGACAAGCCATAACTAGGGGGGAGGAGGGAGAAGGACCCTGAAGAGGATGATGGCAAGCACTTGGCTGGCCCTCAACAGCAGTGAAACAGCAGAGTGTAGAAATGAGGCAGCCAGAACACTTGATTACAGCAGGAAGCTACCAGGTGACAGGTGGCGGTGGCCCCTGCCCTGCCCTGCCCTTTAGCCCCACCACCAAGGCTTCACCAGCATGGGCCTCACACCAAGAGGCTTGGAGTCTCTGTCGCCCCTCCCTGAGGCGGTACTTTATCTCAACTACAGGCTTGCTTCACCCTGCTTACTCAGACACAGTTTGTGTTACCTGCCCTGGGCACCAAAATTCCTAGCTACAGCTCTGGGTGGGGAATAGAAGAAATGATCTCCTTTCCAATTGGGTTCCTTGGAGGCAGCAAAGGTAACAAGATCCAGGCCTGGCCTCAGAGCTGCTAACCAATGACTGACATTCTACAAGTCGGCTTTCTCTAACCTTGCAAAACCACACCGAGGCAGGCTCTCCCCACCTCCCCCAATGTCCTTCCCCCTTCCCTGATCATCAAAGTCACGGTGACAGCACATGGAGGGGCCAGGCCATCTGTCACTTCTGAGACATACAATTTCAGAGCAGAGAGACACGTTTTTAATTTTGGGAGAAATTCTTCTTGGACAGCGTCCTGATTTCATTTGGGAACACAGGCTATTCTAATCCAGCCCCCTCATTTTACAGAGGAGGGAAAGGAAACTCAGGGAACTTGGACTCAGCCAGATTTTCTTCAGAGCCCAGGCCAAGAGGCCTGAGAGAATTAGCATACTTGAAAAGCACAGAATTATCCACATATAAACTATAAAAGAAGGACATTCGGGGATGAAACATCTTCCTAACCCCCAGGTAGTGAGGTAATGAACTTCAAAACTATAGAATGAGATGTATCAACTTGGGATACAAGTTGTATAAAATGGTCACAATTCCTGCCCTCAAGGGGCTTACATTCTACAAGGAAAGACTTCGCATATGCCCAGAAGATAAGTGCATTATTTTCCAACAGGGCTAATGTAGGGATTGGTTTTGCTAGGTTACTTACATTGCATACAATAAGCACTTTGTTTTTCTTTCAATGGGGTGGTGGGGAGATGGTCCTAGCAATAAATTTGTCAAAATGAAAAAAGAAAAGATGAAAAGTAAGAAAAGAGGGCCAATAACGCACTCTAAAAATGTAGAGAAGAGAACAGAAGGACGGCGAAGAGAAAGCAGACAGTGGCAACATATTGAAACTATTTCCAACTTGGAGGGAAGAGCACAATGTTCATAGTTGTAGAGCTAAAGGTGCTAAGGGTGTAATCCTCGATTTCTGTTCTAACTATTCTTGGTGTTTAAGTTCAGAATAAAACAAAGTAAGTTTTTAAAAAAGAAATAACTCAAGAAGCTTCTAGTAGTTGTAGGAGGAAAAAGTGGTACTTAACATGGTAAAATGTGATGTTGGCGGGGCTGGAAAGAAACAGGCACTCTATATGTTATGAGTGGGGCCATGGATTGGTGGAAGGTTTTTGGAGAGCAAACTGACAACCTAAATAAAAGGAGAGACTCATAATTGATTGCCCCCTTTGGTCCTGGAATATTCCTGCCTGGCACCAATTCCCTGGTGATGTTATTAAAAGCAGGAGAAGAAAGCATCTGCCCCTAAAATATTCATTGCTGCTTTATTTGTAATAGTGAAAAAAAAACTAAAAGAAAAAAACCCCTATGTTCAATAACTGGGAAATGGATGAATAAATTAAGGGACATTAGTGTAATGGAATACTACTCTGCTATAAAAATGACAAGCATGAATAACACAAAGAGATATGGAAAGACATATATAGGAGTAAATGCCAAGTGAGGTCGGCAGAAGATGAATTATCAGACCAACTCTAGCCATATTCAAAAAACAATTCAACAAACAGTTATGAAGTGCAGGGTGTGTGAGTTTAAGGCACTGGGGATCCAAAGATAAAAATGACCCAGGCCCTGCCCTCAAGGGGCTTATGTTCTACGAGGAAGTCTATGCTGGGTGTACAGATAAATGAGATACAAAGGAAGGAGAAATCAGACAAAATGACCTAAGAATAAGAGAAGAGGAAGAAAACAATTTCAGCTGGGGAGTCATCAGGGAAGGCTACTTGGAGGGAGCAGCCTTGAAGGACGAAAAAGGCAGAGATGAGCAGGCAGTGCATTTCAGTCACAAAAGCATGAGATGGAGATGGAATGTAGCCCTCAGGGAACAGCTCCCCGCCCAGTCTGGCTGGAATCTGGAGGACAGGAAGGAAAAAGTGGCTGGAGATACAGATGGGAGTCAGAGGACAGCAAGGTCAGGTCTTTGCGATGCCAACTGGGGTAATCTATCCACTGCGCCCCCTAGCTGCCAATAGAGATACAAATAAAGATAAGGTAAAGATAGAAAAGGGGTAGGGAGAAGCACTAGCAATGTTATCAAAAGGTTCTATGACCAGAGAAGAAGGTGGGCTAGTCCCATATACCCCAATGGGGGCATGTGGGTTCCACTGATGTTCGTGCAGTCCTATCAGCTCCTTTGTGGAGTGGACACATGAGAGGGCACGGATAGGAGTCAAAAAGGAGGAAAGGGCATGGGGGCAGGGAGAGTTGTTAGGTGTGGATTAGAGGATGTACACTTTAGAACGTAAACTCCTTGAGGGCAGGAACTGTCTTTCTTTCTGCTTGTATTTGTAAGCCCAGCACTGAGCACAGTGCCTGGCAAACAGTGAGCACTTAAAAAATGCGCATTGCCTGCCTGTCTCCCAGGGTCCTTGTCTGTATTAGCCGGGCTCTGCTAATCACTACCTCTGGCACTTGGGGCAGCTCATTTCCCTGGCCGGCCCCATTTCCTCATCTGTAAATGAGGGGGTTAGGTTAGATAGCCTCAAAGCTTCCTTTGACTTCAGCATCTGTGATTTCTTCGGAGCCCAATGGTCTTCATGAATTGCTGAGACCGGGAGTGGCCGGGTGCTAAACCTAGAACTTAGCACGGAACGTTCTCTGACAGACGCCACCCCCAGACCCATGCTCCAAAACCTTCTGGACCAGTGATAACTCTCAGAGCTGGCCCCCTGTCTAGTAGAGCCCTCACCATCCCAGGATCCCCTCCCCGAGGCACCAAAGAAGCATTCTAGGGGAGATGCTAAGCTCATAGATTTTAAAATGTTTGGTTTTTTGTTTTAAAAGAGAAAAGGCAACATTTCACAAAATCTGAATTTCTAGTCCAGGCCACTCAGATTTTCAATCATCAACTCAATAATTATCAATAACAAACAAACAGGCAAAACTGGGGGAGAACTTTACAGAAAGCCCCCTGGCTTTGACCAAAGAAGAACCAAATGACTTAACCAGAACAACAACATTGCCTTTGCTCCGATGGGCCTGCTCAGTCTCTCCGAAACCCTGGGACCTTTACCCCTGCCTGCCTTCCTTCTTTCTCCCCTTAAGTTCCTACTTTCTCAGTGGAGTGGCAGGCAGGGTGCACACAGGGCTGCTTTCCACTGATTCCTCCGTGCAGCATCTCTGCAGAGACGTTTCCATATTTCCTCGAATAGTCCTTGTCATTTTCATGACACTGTAACTTTCCATTCCATTAATACGCCATAATTGATTCAGCTGTTGGACAGAGAGGCTACTTCCAGGCTTTCGTCATTAGAAGGCAAAAGGGCTCAGTGACAAGGGTACAGGACTGGAGTCAGAGAGCCTGGGTTCAGATCCCGGCCCTGCACTACCTTGTTACTGCTGTTCAATGGTTTCATCCATGTCTCCATTTGGAATTTTCTTGACAAAGATACTAGAGTAGTTTGCCATTTCCTTCTCCAGCTCATTTTACAGATGAAGAAACTGAGGCAAACAGTGACTTGCCCAGGGTCACACAGCTAGGAAATGTCTGTGGCCACGTTTGAACTCAGGTCTTCCTGACTCCAGCACTCTATCCGCTACATCGCTAGCTGCCCTGTACTACCTACATAACCTTGGAAAAGTCAGTTTGCTTCTTGCTTTTCTCATCTATAAAATATGGGAGCCAAAGACAATACTGTAGGATGGAAGAAAGAACTGGGTTAAAGACCACTTTCAAACCCCATCTCTATCACTTCCTTACCCGTGTGTTCTTGGGCAAGTCCCTTAACCTCAGTTTCCTCATCTGCACAATAAGAGGTGGGACTAGTTGGCCTTCAGGGCTTCTTTCAACCTTAATCTAAGGTCCCTTCCAAGTCCTACAGATGGTAGCACATTGGCTAGAGCACTAAACCCTGGAGTCAGGAAGACCCGAGTTCAAATCCCACCTCAG